GGTTACACAGGGGCTGCAGCGGCAGTCTGTGCTCCTGCTGCCTTTCCTGCACCTCAACCATACGCCGGAGCATATCATTTTGATCCTCCAGTAGCCTCAGCATTGCCTCCTGCCTCCTCTCATCACGCTGCCGCCACCGCTCCTCTTGCTCCCGCCATCTTTCCCCTTGCTCCCGACACCTCTCATCTCGCATGTCCCTCCAGTCCTCACGTTCATTTTGTGCTTTCCTGGACTCTGACATTGTTTGCCTCTATGCATTCTGCTGGGCTCTTTCAGTGTGGGAGGACTGATGATGGTAGTGGTAGCGGTAGATGAATGCTACCACTACCATGGAGATGATAGTGGTAGCATTGAAACATTTGCAGCTGCGGGAGGGACAAAAGGGAGAGTTGGGTTGACCAGTTAAAATGGGTTGGCCATTTAAAAGGAGGGGCTAAGGTTTTCGGGTTAATGTGCAGCACAACCCCAACTAAACCCCCCCTCACACCTAATTCTCTGGGATGATCGTTTCACCCCTCCCCCCACCGCGTGGCTAACAGCGGGGATGATTTCTTTTCAGTCACAGGCACACAGCCCAGCAGGAACAGCCACCTCTGAATGTCCCCTTAATAAAATTCCCCTATTTCAACCAGGTGACCATGAATGATATCACTCTCCTGAGGATAACACAGAGAGATAAAGAACGGATGTTGCTTGGCTGCATTCCAGTAGCTTTACTGGCCGTGAATATATCCCAAGTCTTCAGGGCAAATTAATCATTAAACACGCTTGCTTTTAAACCATGTATTATATTTACAAAGGTACACTCACCAGAGGGGCCTTCTCCGCCTTCAAGGTACGGGAGCCCGGGTTGGGAGGGTAATGTTTCCAGGATGATAAACAGTTCCTGGCTGTCGGGAGAACGGTTTCTCCGCTTGCCTGCTGTGCGCTATCTTCCCCTTCTCCAAAATCCTCATCCCTGTTGCGTGAGACTCCCTTGCAGGAGTCCACGTACTGGGGTGGGGTAGTTGTAGGAGCACCCCCTAGAATTGCATGCAGCTCATGATAGAAGCGACATGTCTGGGGGTCTGACCCGGAGCAGCCGTTTGCCTCTTTGGTTTTTCGGTAGGCTTGCCTGAGCTCCTTAAGTTTCACGTGGCACTGCTGCGGGTCCCTGTTATAGCCTCTGTCCTTCATGCCCTTGGAGATTTTTTCAAATATTTTGGCATTTCGTCTTTTGGAACGGAGTTCTGATAGCACGGATTCATCTCCCCATACAGCGATCAGATCCAGTACCTCCCATTCGGTCCATGCTGGAGCTCTTTTGCGATTCTGGGACTCCATGGTCACCTGTGCTGATGAGCTCTGCATGGTCACCTGTGCTGATCAACTTGCCATGCTGGCCAAACAGGAAATAAAATTCAAAAGTTTGCAGGGCTTTTCCTGTCTATCTGGCCAATGCATCTGAGTTGACAGTGCTGTCCAGAGCGGTCACAATGGAGCACTCTGGGATAGCTCCTGGAGGCCAATACCGTCTAATTGCATCCACACTCCCTCCAAATTTGACCTGGCGATGTCGATTTCAGCGCTAATCCCCTCGCTGGGGAGGAATACAGAAATCGATTTTAAGACCCCTGTAAGTCGACAAAAATGGCTTCATCGTGTGGACGGGTGCAGAGTTAAATCGATCTAACGCTGCTAAATTTGACCTAAACTCGTAGTGTAGACCAGGGCTTGGAGTAATACAGCCCCAACAGAGAACTTTCCTACTCCAAATTGATTTGCAACTGACTGGTAGCAGTCTGGATTCACCAGCTTCCACACAGAAATTGCAATACGCTTCTCTACTGGAAGGGCAGTTCTCATTCTGGTGTCCTTGTGCCGCTGGTCGGGGGCCAGCTCAGCACATAGCTCCATGAAGGCTGCTTTACGCATCCTAAAGTCCTGTACCCACTAGTCATCATCCCATACCTGCATGACAATACGATCCTACCAATCAGAGCTTGTTTCCCTAGCCCCAAAGCGACGGCCTACCATATGCAGCTGCTCTGTGAATGCACAAAGCACTGATAAGTTGCTTCTGTCCATATCACACTCGGGTGCCTGAGATTCATCCTCTGCTAACTTTGCGAGTAACTCTGAGAGTAACTGTGCTGCCATGAGCAATATCCTCACGACAGCTAACAGTGTATAAGAGAGAAGTGCGGGATCCATCCTCTCTCGCTGCAGATGCTGGCGCGCATTACAAAAGAATGACAGTTGGAAAAATGGCGTGAAAGGAAGCCAGAGACCTTTGGAGGGGTGGGACACAAAGCGGTGCACGATGGTACATTTTGCACATCCCAAGATGCGCTGCGCTCCGTTGCCGCATTCCCACAACACCTAACGACGGATGTTGTCGCCAGGCACTGTGGGATACATACCCACAGTCCAGTGCTCTCACTGTCGACAAAGCATAATGTGGACACGATCTGTCAACAGAGGGAGCAAATGTAGACATGCTTTGGTAACTTTGCTTTTGTTGATTTTTCCTTGGTGACATTAGTTGCATCGAAAAAACTTGCCAGTGTAGACAAGCCCAAAGAAGTCAAAGGTCTGAATCTGAGAACATGCCAAGATTTTAAAGCATTCCTGTCAACGCTAAAAATATTATTTATACAGCATCATAGGTAAACATGATGATTTATGGGTACCAATTATGACAAAGGTCCCACTCCTCAGGAGATTACATTTTAAGTTATTATGATTATTAATCACTGGTCTACAATTTTTGAGAAGTCGTCTGCTTCAGAGATAAAATGTGCTATTTATTATGTATTTTGATGTGCTGAATTCAAATATGACAATTAAAACAACTGATTGGCGACTGTTTCTAAGATATTTAAGTTTTTACATTTTATGTCTATGTATAT